CAGTATCTCGGCGAACGATCAATATTTTTCCGGGAGATAGACGAGTCGTTCCACTACGTAAAAGATAAAGAAAGACGGAAAGAGAGCGAGAGAGAGAGGGAGAGGGAGAGAGGAGCGGCGAACGAGCGGAAATGAGAACGAACGGCGAACACGAACATATAGATCAGGAAAAGGACAGCGGAGGACTCCCTCAGAAGCGGACAAGTGGGAGGGGGGGAGGAGGTAAAGGAGGCTGTCGCGGTAGAAAAATGGGACCGGTCCGAGGGCCGTAGAAAGCCGAGCATGGCGGCGGCGTGGGTGGAGCGGGGAGCGGTGACAAGTACGATCGCGGCCGGTTCACGTAGAATTGACGGAGGAAGAGGAGAAAAAAAGGGGCCGGCAAAGAAAGAGGTATTGATGAGGCAGGAGAACAAAAAAAAAGGATCAGTGGGAGTCGACGGAAAACCGATCGGCGTGGTGCGCGCGATGCGGCACTTATAATTTCTAATCGCGCGGGCTTTTTTGTTCCGCATCCGGAACTGTTTTCCGACCACCGTCCGCAATAATTTACGTTCGCATTGGCGAGTGCGCGCGAGTGCACGTTGAAAAAGTGAGAAAATGGACACGGGAATCGCGTCGCGTGGTGCCATGCTACGTCGCGGCGCGGCCGTTCGCGGAAAGGAAAGGCAGCGCCGACACGTCGCGACGATGATGGGAGGAGATCCATAAATCGTCACAGAAGACTGCTTGCTGATTCGATATTCTTTCCGATTTTCCTCCCCTCGATTTCACACCGGTGATGCGACGTTCCGAGTTAATGCCTCCATTTCTTATGGCAAAGCTGTTTTCGAAAAGAAAAAAAAAAGAGCAAAGTTATTTACTATTTAAAATTAAAAATGATCTTATTGCCTTTGGAGTGAAATCAGTTTAGTGGAGAATTCATTAATAGATTGTGTAATCGTTGCGAAATAAGATTTGTGATTGAATTTGGGTGTTGAAAACCTGCTACCTCCTATTAGAAATCTATTTCGTAATAGAAGACTTTCCCCTATTAATAAAATAATAGAATTTGTTAACATTTAATTGCATTTATCAGCAGAACGTAAAAGAAATAACAAGAATTTCGTAAAATAAGATCATTTGACAGCTGATATTCGTGGAGTGGAATTATAACGAAATGGAATGGGCGAAAGAAGCACGATTTGCCTCGTCGACGTTTTTTCAAGGTTGCTGCTTGGTACCTCGTAGAGTATCATAGCATCATCACGCGCAAAGATAACGAGATGGTGAGAGTTACCTCTAAGAATGATATGAAGGCTGCAAAAATAAGAAACTCGTATATATCAGCGGATTCTTCCATTTTAGTTGCAATTCTACAATTGCGGCGTACGATCATGGGCAAATTTTAATAGCAACACGCATATTGCGTGCAATGTCTTGTAATAATATTTTTATATCAAACGGGATAATAAACAAAAGCGAGACGACAAACATCGTGCAAATGCGACGAATCATTAATCACCTGGTACTATTATATCAATTAGTCTTCGAGCGTATAGCAAATAGACCAAACTCTTCCGGTCGATAGAGCTGATATTCGCATTTCGGGCGAAGAGAACGCCCGGAATCTCGGTGTGGTCTGAATACTTAAGGATCCGAAAACGGATTAATTTCATTATGGACGCATTTTCGTCGGTGCTACAAAACTGGTACCCATTACTGCACGCTCGCTACAGTCGGTATGGCGGGCTTGTGCATTTGAAAAATTGTGTCAGCAGATATTGTTATGGGGATAGTGCATCGGCAAGCCGATTACCCGAATATCCCTTACACGAAACGTCGATTATTCCATTACGGCTTATCCGGGATATCGACCGCGCCAAAAAGGATACGATGCGATATACGTCCAGCGAACGTATAATGCGCGTATAATAAGGTGTACAGCTGAAATTCCGTTCAGGCGCGTCATGTAAACATCAAGCCGATCATTAATATGCATTCCCCGCATAAAGATTTAACACGATTTTCAGTATATTTTGGACGCTGCGCTAAGCTTTCGATTTATTCCTTTGCGTCAATTAATTAGTTCGTGTTCATTATCAATTCCCTACAACATACAAATATGTTATTACGTGTAAAATGTGTTGTATGATTTATCGTATTTGTTATCCCTTTACGCCGAAAGAACGGTCAAGTATTTAAAAATTTAGCTAGATATAGGTCTAAAATAATTCTGTTAGACCATCAAAATATAATAATTACGTAGAGCACTCAAACTAGTATACTTTTGCAGTATTGTCATTGCTTCAGCGTTCCATATAATTATTCTGGTGATCCAGCAAAGTTCATTTCAGATCTGTTAAATGTTTTAATAGTTGAGCAAAACTGTTCTTTCTGCGTAACATAATATATTGCATAATACGTATATTACAACAAAGTTAGAATTTGTATCCAATAAATTTTCAGATTCGGTTTTTTCGGAAAGTAAACCTTGTGGTAAAGAAAATCCATCATTTCGACAAGTTTATGATTTAATCCCGTGGTTGCACGTTGGTGAAGCAAAAAAATTCACTTCCAACAAAACTATTTTAACAAATATTAACGTACGTACTTCGCGTCCATCATTTTTCTCGCTCTTATTTTTATGTGGGCTTAGGCGGCGTCAAAAGAAGCTGACGATTGCACCATAATTATACAATACTTATTATACAATCTTGAATTTTACAATCAACACTGGACGTAATAATTACAAATCAATTAAACACAGTTAAAATATTATACTGTTTGCTCCGAAATTATGGCACAAATTGCCAACGGTTGAATTCTATTTTTAATAGGTTTTTGAGTCTAGCGTAGCAGGAAACTTCTTTAAATAGTATAACGTGCTTTAAATTCAGTTACTGAAATTTAAATATGATTTTAATAAATGTCAGTAAAAATGAAAGAAACGACGCGGAAGAAGCAGGCACATATCGACTATTTGTGAATTTGTTAGAGACCGGGGTTATCAGTGTCGTCTCGATCGTGACGTATTTACTTTCCGTTTCCGTACCACATTTTTGGCCAAACATTTAGTATAATCCGTTACACATTTACTAGATAGATTTGGCTATTAATAAATGTGTATTAAGAAATGCAAAGCTGTTTACATAAGATATAATATTATTGTGCTTGCCCGGCTTCGCCCGGGCTTCCCTTCTTCTGATAAATTGTCCTAAAAGTGAGAGGAAATGTATGATATTAATAGCTTTCGTTGTTTTTACGTCTACGACGCGGAAGAAGCATGCATATCGACTATTTGTGGATTTGTCGTAGGCCGGGTTATCAGTGTCGCTTTTATCGTGCCGTATTTACTTCCCTTTTTCGTGCATCTTTAGCATTTAGTATAATCCGCTACACATTTATAGATATTTCAGGCTATTAATAAATGTGTATTAAGAAATGGAAAGCTGTGTATGCAAGATATTGCTTTGATAAAATATGCACTGATTAGTTATTTCTTTAAGAAATTTCCAAGTATAATCTCACATAATTTAAATTTGAAGTAAGCTAGAAATGTTTTATGTAGCTAGACTTAAAGCAACTTGAAAAAAAATTGCGTCATGATAGGTTTGAAATAAATGTACAACGGAAAATTAGGAGATTCTTTAGTAAGAAACAAGTAACGTGTATATATATATTTCCATCATAGAAGTGCAGCAACATACAGGTTCTTGTCCTCATTTCGATGTACAGATATGCGGATTATAAATTCATGGCAGTAGAAAAGGATACAAAGATGACATCGTGACAAAACGAACGTACGCCCTTGTTGTTAAAGGCCTTGAAATATTTACAGTACTGCAGTAAGTGTCGCGAGTAGTGTTGTGCATTATACAAATAAATGCAACCAAATATTGGTCAAATAAGAATTTCTTTGATCAAATTTCCTTTTTACGATATAAATAGGGATAGTTTAATCGATTGATTAAATACTTTTTAAAGTTGCTCTGTATAAGATATGTGATAAAATCGTACGATCTAAATAGCAACAGCACATTAGTTACATTTATACATTTGATACATTTTCTCATTTGGGTAATAATCACGATTGTCTTGCACAACACTGACTGCCGGTATATAGATATAGATTACGAATTCTTAAGAATCGCGTGTATATCGGAAAGTTCCACTCTCTTATCCAAAAGTCGCATGAAAAAATAATTCGCTTGAATCCTGTTCCTATCATAATTATCTCTGTTTCAGCCTTAAAATGATACGATAGGTATATTCCCATCCATTCATATTGATTTATCTATTTATCCTAAGTACGGACTCTCGAACATTGCAAGGCACCACATACTTTCCGACGTAATTATCAAATTAACATTTAGAAAGGATTTAAAGAAAATGTATCGCTTTAAATTATAATCGAAGGCAAATTAAGTCTATTGCAAGTCTTTAATCTTCAATAGTTCCGAATTGAAATTGTATTACTAATTACATGAAAATAGCTTTCAATAAATATATCACACAGTTCGTTTACTTAATATTTAATAGTTTATATTAAAATATAAGTCACACGTTTAAAAAAAAGGAAAAATATAGAAATAGATAGAATAACAAATGGGAAACATATGGGTGAAAATGACGAAGTACGGAGATGATTCGTTGAAAAATTATATTTTTTTTCCATTCTGGCACGAATCGTAAACACAACATAATTTATAAATTAACGTACACAATCATCATCAATCATTTACACAAATTTCATCAGCATTTCATCGTTACAAAAGATATGCCTTTGTTTGGGAGGAATTGGAGATCAAAATCTCTTCGGAGACAAGCTTTGTTGTGCCATGTAAATTGGAGAAAAGGGAGATGAGTGTGAGATTCAAAATATATTTTAGTCCTCAATTGGAAAATGCGATAAATATTTAATATACAAGATATCTTGATGAACTTTTTTTCGTGTAAGTTGAACTCTCTCTCCCTTCTTCCGATTCGGTAAAGGATAAATGAATCAAATGGAGATAAGTAAAATGGAAAATTAATAGAACGGGAATAAAGAAAAGAATGGAGATAGTGAGGAAAGAACAGATGAGAAAGGAGAATAGAAAGCTTGACTCATGAACGGGATAACAAAATAAATAATAGAAGCATTAAACATGATTAATCACTTAACAACGTAACTAGAGATAATAATAATATTAATAATAATTAATAATATTAATAGAAATAATAATAATCATACGAATGGCTATACTTGTTATTAATTACAAGAACAGGTCTGGCACGGCGTTCGCTTAACTGCCCGAAGACGCGTCGAACGTGTTTGTTCCTTTCTCACGTCTTTTCTTACTTTAAGTTACTACAGACTTAATACGCAAGAGATTCTGTCAGTTTAAGGCTGAATTGGTGCGAGGGGTAACGTCAAATAAAAGGTCTTGATGTTCTCGTTTCGATAATCATGCTAAAAAAAATAACAAAAGGAGCAAAAAAAGAACATTGCGACGCATCAAAGACTCGATGGCACTTGAAAATTAATCGTACATCCGCATATTGAGATGTACACTTTTTCGTCCATAATCTTGAAATATATTAAAGCAATTTACTTTCGTAATTAACTAGTTTGTAACCCGCCGTGAAAGAAAACAATTAACAAAAATACTTTGTTTAATTTTAGAATGATAATTGGTCGCATGTGTACTTTGCTAGTATCGATTAAACGAGCGTCCTCCGATTCGACGGTTCTCCTTCGCGCGTCGCACCATACGATAAACACCGCAAGCAATCGTTCGATCAAAATGGGGAGGGGGGGGGGGGCAAGTAAAATGGCAAGCAGAGAGCGACAATACTTTCTCCTTAATAGCTACTTACTCGTCCTCTGAAAACGCTTAATCGGTAGATAGGTAATTAGAAAAAACCTCGATATACAAAAATACAGAGATATACGTACCTATGCGCGTGCAATGTATCAGCGCGTGTCGATACTTTTACTTGTTCTTTTTTTCCGTCGAGGAATAGGAGACACATCGGGGAAGTACATAAATATACATAGGGTAAGGATTACGGACAAAACGATCGAGGCTGAGTAAGCTCGAGTATTATGTCGGCGCGTACTGCTCAACGAGTCACCATATAACTATCGTAAAACTATATGGAATTGACGTTTCCGAAACGAGAGACGAACTTGTTCGCGGGACCGGGCAAATGGCGAGATGAAATTTCGTTTAATGCATTTTAATGTACCTTGTAGGAGATGCATTGATTGAAATCTTTATTTCCGACGTTTTAATACTATGTTTGCTTTCTCTGCGAATTACATTTATTAGGACATTACTGGATTCAATTCACCATTTGCTCGGCCTGGCGACCTTATCCGTACAGAGATCATGGATTGAGTACTTTTAGATTGTCTTCGTCGATTCACAGCGCAAAGATACCTGTCGGATTCGCCCTTTTTCGCTTAAGCACCACAACCAGTTTCGATTAATCGCGCCGCAACGACCGCTGTATACTTAGCTTCTACCGAAAAAAAACGTTAAAAAATTGGAAGAGTCCGTATCGATTGCGTCAATTTGAATGTTCGTTCCTCGATAACGTAACGAACTGACGCCGACGTTATCGTCTCCCGCGGCGTTTGATGTTACTTAATTAGCATTAATTTCGAGGTGAGACCAACTTTCAAACGCGCTCTTTCTTCGCGCTCGCGTATTCGAAGCCTTTCGCGACGTCACACACGTCAAGTGCGTTATATAAAAAAATATTTCATCTCCTTGCCGGTTGGCGGCGGCGCGAATAATTATAATCGCAATAGTTACAATAATAAAACGCAATAATAGTGTCAATAATATTACTCACTAATTAACGTTATTTCTATACGCTTTATTATGCTTTAACATCGTTTTTCCCCTCTCGCTCTTTCTGCAGGTACGAATATTTTCTTTTTTTCTTTTCACGTTGTTCTTATTCTTGCGATCGGGTGACTTGTCGACCCCGCACTAACGAAATGTCCATCGCAAAACAATGATCACGATTACATTATAACTATCAATACATCACTGCTTTTGCTTCTTTCGACTTCTGTAGGAAGTCGTCTTAACAAGTTTTCGAGCAACAACAACTTGAGCAGGTTTCGGGCGAATCGACGAGGTTACCAATGGCGACTCGCTATTTAGATATGGACACATGAGAAAAATATTGGCGGTAAATAAACTCTCAATCAGAAATTATCTCGCTGATTGATTTGATTCTGCTTCGTCTTTTACTTTGGGGGGGATTATTGGCGAGATTATTCTCTCGTCACCAATAGTTTTTCTCCGGCCCGCAAATCGCGCTCGACCGACAGATATGTTTTAAACAGTACAACTCTAAAACTGTTTAAGTGAGGTCTAATGAATCCTTTTTATATACTTTGCCGTATCTTAATGCGATTTCAAGTCATATTAAATTCTGGGCAACAATTTGCGTTTCGATTTACCTTTTTAGCTAAAGAATTTATATAAACGATAAAAAAGATACGATACATTGAAATTACGAATTTCACTAGACCTCGATATACAATTTACTGGGGTTGATGCGTGTGTCGATCGCGTGTCCGAAATATTTATCTAAAATTTGGCACGTATGTTCGCGTCGCTGACGGGCCACGTTCCAGATTCCTCCATAGTTAATGTTAAAGATTAGGAAAGTCTTTCGCGAAGAACTGACGCGCGATACGATTAATTATGTATATACAGTGTTACTGGACACGTGATCGTTTTACGAGCACGATAGAAAACGATTCGATTCTAACGCCGAGCTTAAGCACCGCTTTCATATTACCTTTGTGCACCGCGCTGCACTTGTGCGACCGAGCAGGAATGCTTTATTTTCAGCTTGTGTGTATCTCAATTTTGTGTATCGAGAACGAGAAAGCGAAAGATGTACGAAGAGAGCAGCTAGTTAGTTGCTATATCTTTTCAAAGACAATCAAGAAATCTCCGAGAATGCAGCAATCGATACAGTTGTCAGCCAAATAAGAATTTGAAAAGTAAGATTAAGCTCAAAGAAAGTTTTCAAATTTTGATAACAGTATCTAGAATACATGGATATATAAAAGTATAATATAATGTAAATAATACATTGCAAATGACAGGAGGAATAAGTGTATTGACAAATTGATAATTTATCTGAGATAGATTTCCTTGGTACGCATGCAAATAAATATTGTGTGCCGTATATAAAATATTAGGAAGAATGAAACTCGAATCGCGGAAACAGAATCAGATGCAGGGGTCGAAGAAGTACGATAATACTGTTCGGCATTGTTCGCGATTGCGTGTGACGCATGAAGGATGATGATTTTTAAGCAATCCGCAAAGAATCGTTAAGCAAAAATCATAAATTTTTTGATAAATAATACAATGTAATAATACTCACGGGAGAGAAGTTTACTTTTATTATTCAGCTCTCCATGATGCTTCCGACATGCGAACTTAACTGTTTGGCTAAGTAGTAGCACGTAGGAGGGATTTTATCACGTTTGCAAATATAATAAAAGATGGCAAGACGTTGCAATAATTTTGAAGCAAAGAAAGTCACTTTTTAGACAACGTTACGTGCACACTATTAAAACATTTTTCAATGTATAAAATATGAAATGAAAAAAGAAATAATGGTTAGATATCCATAAATTTAACAAATTCTTCAAATATGTCGATATGATATATCATAAACTTTTCTGCAGGAACTTTAATGTGCAACGAAAGAATGAATTTAACACGTCTAACTGCAATCTCTTCCAAAATAGTTGTTTCTCCCAAAAGTTTAAGCTCGATCACAGACTCTCATTAGCGTTCGTCGGGATTCTTGCGAAATCGAATTACAACAAGAAAAGAAATATTCCCTCTCGCCGATTTTCCTGTTCCATCAAGAGATCGCGATCTCTTAAAGCATCGATTTCTTTCTAACGCTCGGCTAATGTCATGGAGGTTGTCGACCGGCGATTTCGCTTTCTCATCATGTTCCCGCGAAATCCTGATCGACCCGCGAGGATCCCTAAGGATCCGCGATTCATCCTATCGCAACGTTCTCGCTGAGACCTGGAGCTAGAGTAGAGCCAGGGTCATCCGACCGATCGTTGTCATTCAGCTTTGATAATCGCTGACGGCGCCGCTGCCACGTTTTGGTCGAAAGTAGGGCATTCCTCACCAGCGAGTAGACCGGGTTCGGTCTTGGGGATAGCGCCGTCCGCGTACCGATTGTGGGTTTTCAAATGCCTGGTGATCATATCCCTGCGACAGGCTGCGTAGGCACACTGCGGGCATTTATACGGTTTCTCGCCGGTATGGGTTCGCTGGTGGGTGCTGAGGTGATCAGATCTGCTAAACACCTGATGACAAGTCCGGCATGTGTACGGTTTGACGCCGGTGTGCAGTCTCATGTGCCTAGTCAACATGTCCGATCTCGCGAAACTCCTCTGACAAACGTCGCAGAGGTACGCTTTCGCCGAGGCGTCGTGGAGACCTTGCCGACGATGTCTGGACGCCATGTGCTTCGCCAAACGATCGTGCAGACTGAACATCTGCCCGCATTCTGGACAGACGTAAGCCACGTCCGCGCCCGGCGCCATTTCCTCAACGACAGGTAGAACCTCCAAATTATACCGTACCGCAACGGTTTCTTTCGTCGTGGGTGACGCAACATCGCCCCTGACTACGGGCACACTGACGGAACCCCGCGTCACAATGCCGGACGGTAGCAGCTGAAGAGACGGCGACCTGGTGGAGACCGCCGAAGCAGCCGCGGTAGACTGCAGCATCAAGTTCTTCATGGAGAGATCCAACGGCGATTCTTGAGGACTCGTGCCATCGCTCTCGAGGGAGCTACTTCGCGGGAAATGATTGACGACAGAGGAAAAGGAAGTGGTCGCGGCTGGTACCCGCGTTTCGTCCCACTTGGGCACAACATCTGAATCGGAGTGACTGCGTCCGCGGAAGGTGTCGCCTGGCGACGACGACGACAGGTACTTGGTATGCATGTACTGCTCGAATATGCTATACGTGCCACATATACTGCTGTACGTGAAGCTGGTTCGCGACAGCGGGGTCTGCAGGGAGGTCGCCGACATCATCGCTGCCGACGCAGCCAGCGTCTGCGAGCACTGGCTACACATACAGTCAGAGTACTTGGTCGCCGACAATCGGTGGTTGTTCTGATAGGGCGAGTAACGATGTCGATGATGGTGATGGTGATGATACGAGTAGCGATATGGTCGGTGGGGATGATGGCGATACTGCTGACTGATCTCATTGAGCTCCTCTTCGGTTGACGTCACTGCTTCCGCGTCTTTTAACCTCAATGGTAATTGGTCAATCACCGCGGTGGTATCTACGGCGGATCGCGAGGATGACGATCTGGGCGAGCCGAAGACGTCTTCCTCCTCGGACACGGGACCGCTGCCTTCGAACTTCAACACCTCGCCCTCGGATGGTGAACTGCGATGGGCCTGCAATGTGTCCACCACTTGCTCCAGTCGTCTTCGTTTCTTGCGGGGGTTCCGATGGTTGCGGTTGGCCGTCGCCGCGAGGGTGTTGTTGTTCGTACAGGAGGGTGGTGGCGGCTTGGCCGGGCCCGGGGGCGCGGCTGCAGCGTCCTCCACGGCGCTCTCGGCCATCGTCATCGAGGATGCGCGGCACCCGCCGCCTGGGCCCCTTATGCCACCTACGACACCCTCGGCTACCACCGTACTACCACCCACCTCGTCCTGGAACAATCGAACGATGATGATGTGGTTATTCCAAGATACTCAAGTTATCTGCACGAGTTTAAGTGATTTTTCTTAATTTTGCACGCGCATTTAGACAGCAACTTGAATAGTACTGAAGCAAGTGCGCGATAAATTGACGTTTAGATTGAATTATCGCACACCTGCATTGCTTCATTAACATCTTGATAAATTGTTTAGTCGCTCAGTCAAATTACGTCTTATTATTATTGTATACATGTCTACGCCAAGGTTTATATACGTTACTTGCTTTGATAGAGATCTTTTATTCAATTTATGTTGGAAATTATTAAAAGTGTGTGATTTGATAGCTTGAGTTTCGCAAGATATATAATTTCAATCGGATGCAAATTAATTTTCACGAGAAGTAACTTTGAATTATATGTTATTATACTTAGAGATTTGAGCACCGTCGAATTAGATGGTATTTTATTGGGGCAACGTTGTCGCTAACAACGCTAGATTGCTAATGACAGTAATTGACATATCGCGGCGACATTTATACGGGCGAGATTTAGATTCGCAGGTGCTAATAAACTATGACTATGATGATAATACTTCGAGAGACATAAAATTCCACCAATTCATGTCTAATACGATCACGTATTGCAAATAATATTACAGATTATAACAAATAATTCAAGCTGTATGCGCATTCTTACTATTTGCAAGCGCAAAGCTTAGTAAACTTAACAAGAAATATGACAAAGATACAAAACTTATTACGTGTCTACTAAAATGAAACAGCGCAAGAATAGATTTTATTACACATTTTGCGAGAAATTTTTCGCGGTATAATATAATAATTAAAACAATATATGAATATTGCAAAATAAGATATCAGCCCTCTCGCTGTCATGAAATACGATTTACGTTAACGGCAAATAGGTTAATGCGAAAATATCATTGTTATGTTAAACGCGAGAGCAATGAAGTATCAGTGTGAGCGGCCGTTTGCATATAATCTTGCTAGGTTACCAAAAGAACAGGTATCGACGTGCAAAACCGACAGGTGTGGATTGCGCGAGACTCGTCTCACAATCAGAACGAATGGCAATCGAGGTAACGGAGGTCTTCTGGAGAATGGGAGAGAGACGACGAAAAAGCGCCAAGTCGTCGTAACGAGACGCGATTAGAATATTCGTCACGTTTTTGCGCCGCGATATCGACCGATCATTTGTCATTAGCACCGTGGCCGCCATTAAAAAAGCCGAGAGACGATCGCCTCTCGGCGAGATCGCGCTCGCTCCCGTGCCGATTATCACGATGCAGCCCCGTTTCGGCTACTCCGCGACTAACGGAACTTTTTTTAACGTTCTCGCTAAAAGAACCTTGCCCACTTGTAAACAAGCGGCATCATTACTTATTGATGACAAACACGTCCGTTACTAAAGAAATTAATTCGAAACGGAAGAGACCTGTCTTGGGTTAATTAATTCGAACGTCTATTAAAACGCTATTGCGAGTGTGGAGAAAATGCGTATTTCTGACAATTCGCGAAGTGACGGGTAAATAATGATACACCGTGTTCGCTGTGGTTGAATACAGAATTCTTTTTATGGGGACCTAATTCCCACGAAGAGTCATGTAGGGGTTTTTTTAAATAATTATTTTAATCAATACGAATGATATGCGTATGTATATGTGTGTGTGGACCACACTGTTCGTCTTGTTCGACGTGACAACGTCACTTCGTTATAAGACCGCGCGATGTAACTCGAGAGATGTATCCGCTGAATATTTGAAATTTAAATCGCGCGAGGACGAGCGCGTGAATCAACGGACAGACAATCGACTGGTGTTTAACACTGCGATTTTTTTTACGGCGTGGGCGAATTTCTGTAGTTCGCGTGCAACACCTTAAACTTAACTCTGGAGATCTCATTATCGGTTCTTCTTATTTGCGGATCTTTTACGGACAAAAAGCCAATGAAATCCCAAAGATCCCATGGTGTAAATAACCGCTTGTGATGCGACGTTATCCAATTTCGGTATCGACAAATAATTGTACATTACAACTGAACTTTGGGATCTCGCATCGTCTTCGTTAACCAATGGCGTTGAAAGTCCCAGAACATATCGGATTAAGATACTCCATTAATTTTCTGTAGGTGTTTCTTGAGTGAAACTAAAAAGTGTAGCAAAGGAATTTAAAATGAGACTCTTGGAATCTTTTTATTTTGTAGACCGAGTGGCATTATCGAATATGAAAGATCGAACTGTCGAGGAATCTTTTCGAAACTAGCACGATGGCACCCGATGCGACGGTATCTTGGCGCCACGTGTGTACGCGCATAATTTGAATTGCAAGTCTGCCTTCGGTCTCGATCACAACATGTCACGGTCGTAGATTAGAGATTCTGCCCGGCTTCCCGGAAAAACGCGGTGTGTCGCGTCGCGGACACGGATGCGGAGGATTGTTGAACGGTTTTCCAGCGGCTCCAGCGTGCTGCATACCAACGCGTACGTGCGTAGCGCGCCGTTTCGAGACCGATCTTCGCGGCCGGGCTCCGCTTACCTCCGATGAATACCGAGAAATCCGTTCGCGGAGAAACACGCCAATTCCTGGCCACTGTCCCAACGCGGCGGCGAGAGCGGCGGGCTCCGATAGCCGTTTAAATGACGTCGCTTAAGTGACTTAATGCGACTGATCCGCGACTTATTTCAGTCCACGTGCGTCCTTCAACTTTGCACCACCACCGCGGCACCGCGGCATTCTAGAATAAGGATTGTCGCTGTCGCGCACCTTTGCTGCACAAAAAACTGCTTTATGCCGTTCTCTTAAAGAGACAGGATGAATATTAACGTGTCGGTTAGCGATTGTTTTTATTAGCTAGATGACACTTTTGCGGGACATGTAGTGGTGTCTCGCAGAAGAGAAGACGCGGGAGGTTGCTCTCGAATAAAGTGTTTGGTTAGACGTCTTCTTAACAAAAATTATACTTATGCCGCCTATTCACGGTGCGACACTCGCGTGGCTTGATTACAAAACCGCATCAATCAAAAGAGAACAAATAATAGAATCTGAATATCCATTTTATAGACTGGCACTTCGATTAGAGAGGTTTCGTAGCGAATCTTGTTTGACGGTGCACGGGCGCTTCGGTCCTTTCTTGTTTACTACAGTGGCTATTCTTTTATTCTTCCCGGCGCCGCCGCTTGTCCTACCCTTCCCCGCCTTCATTCGCGGAGAGAAAGGGTCTCGATGATCGGTCGTAAAACGTAAAGGGGACTCGTAAACGAAGTGAAAAGATATCAGAACGTAAATGTCGAGAACAGGTCCCCTAAAGAGGACGGTGTGGGCGTACTTACTCGCTACCTTCCCATCGCTTTAATTTTTTTCCTCTTTCCCTTCGGTCAGACCCGAGGAGCACCCTTCTAGAGAGTTTGCCGCGATGTTTCATTACTGTCTTCATAACTTTTGCTTTTTTTCCCATGTTTAAGTGAAATTATTATCCTAGATTAACAAAATGCACAATCGAAAACGGTTTTATTACACGTGATATTTTTTGTGTCATTTAAAGTTTTGTCTTAATGATTGAAAAATTCTCAAGTTTAACGATGCAAAGATTTTAAGAAATAATACAAGAAAGTGTTGTTTTTCGAAAGCGCACGACAAAATATTGACGAGACTCGGTTTTCCTTGGTGAGAAGAAAAACACAAACTGCTTTTGGTACGATATAAGCGAAATATTGGTATCGAGAGAGCGAAGTAGTAAAGATGTTGCTATCTACGATTTGATACATATGTGATGATTGGAGGATATGAGTTTGCAAGAAAACGGAGCGGACGATCATCGGTGAAGAATTCCAGCAGGAATGCCCTCGAGCAGGCACCTGTAACCGTGGCTCGACGGGAGAAACAGAACAGGTTGAGACGTGGGCGTGGGTGGAGCGCTTGATCTTTCTCTCCTGCACGATCTGCCCATATACTGGCCGCGGCGCCAGTGATGGGTACGATTAGCGCGCGAGCTTTCACGTACGCTAGTTCTCGAAGACTCACACAGGCGTATAGAAAAAGGCTCACTTCGTTAGAATTCTCTTTGCTGTTTTACAGTCTAATAGGTGTAATAGAGGGGAAGTGGACATTTAAAAGTGAATTTTTATTTTAGAATTTTATAAAAGTTTTGTGCTATAATCATATCACTATCTCAAACATGTGTAGTTACGAGCTGCATTCGATAATCGCAAATTGATGCAACGTTTTCCAATACGTTATCAATTCGATGCGTCCATTAATTATCATTCTCATTTATCTAAAAGACTAAATAAGATGTAATTAAGTAGGTATATACGAGTTAAAAAAGATACAGCACAAGGAGTTGTGAAAAAGAAAGTCGGACAAGTCATCTCGGTAAAAAAAATATATATACAAAAAACGAATGTAGTTACGTGTGTTACAAACGTGAATGTGACTCGCGCCTTTCGCTATTGGCTGTCCATCCGGCGTTCCTGCTTCGGAAAGGAAGAGCGGCCTTAAGGCAGACAGGCTCGCCGCGGTGGCGGTAGGACTCTGGCGAACTGCTACCAAAAAACCAGACGGGCTACCGAAGGGAAGCCAGTGGTTGGTATCTATATAGGCTACGAGGTAGTGAAGCTGCGACCATCCGAGCGTATCTTCCCGCGAGGGCGAGGCCCGCAAAAAGAATTAGAGGAATCGAGACGGCCGGCGATCGAAGGTCGACGATCTGTCTCAACGAACGTTCGTTAACCATTAGGCCTATCTGAAGCACCGGCCGGTGGCTCGTCTAGGAGACTGACAACGTGTATCAAGCCCACGAGCGGCAGAGGACTCGTTCGCCACGCATACACTTTTCCGCGGAACGAGTTGCAGAAGCACGCCACTTTCCTTATTCTGTTTTTTCCCCGCTCCCCCCTTCCCCCCTCCCCCCTTCCCCCCCTCTCTCTCTCTCTGTCTTCCTTTCTCTCTACCGTTTAAATCTTTTTCCCCGTCTTTCTCCTCCGCACGGAGCATTTCCCCTGACGCGGTCTCTGTGCGATGCAAAGGAGTCGCTAGCTC